TGATTAAGTTGTTGAAATTTGGTTGGTGCAATGTCATTAAATCTCTCTCTCTCGCCTCTCCACCCTCTCTCTCTACACACACACCCACCCACCCATGTCTGTACTTTTTTGGGGGGAGGGCATCTTTTTAGGGTAATTTTAGGTGAGCAGTTTTCACTTTTCTACTTTGAGAAGTGCACACAAGGTTGGAAAATGGCACTGGTGTTATTTCGTATCTCTTAGTCTTTTTGGTTGTGCAGGTATAGATAATGTAACTCAGGGTTATGAAAATGACAAATGCACACAAGATTGGAAAATGGCACCAGTGTATTTTGGAAGTTATCTGTTATTGATATATTGGGCTCTGAGTTCCATGTTGAGGAGCCCATTACTGCAGTTTCTACCAATTTGGTACCCACTCTGGAAAGATAGTTGCAGATCTTAGGACCAGGTCACTAGCAGGCTGGTGTAGTTTTCATATATTTTAAAAAGAAATTAGTGATTCAGAGTTCTTAGAGCTGAGCTCCCTGTAAGGCTTGTTGGAAAACCCCTTGTCCAACTTTGTTAATTGTCCTTTTGCTGTTCAAACTGAATACTTTTATTCATTTTTGCCTTATATTGCATGTGCTATGCATCTAATGAAATTGTCATTGGCAATTGAACTTTTTGTTTAGCGCACCTCAATCATATTCCAGAAGGATTATTCATCACTCTGTTACATTAATAGGGATGTCTGTGGGGCTACTGGTCTTTGATGTTGCAACTGAGGATATTTCACTGCATATCCACTTAGAATTATCTTGACATGTTTGTTGTGATTGGAGTAATTTTCTTGTAGTCTGTCATTTTAGAATCAATGAGGGAAATGGAAGGACAGTAGCTTCGACATGATGAGTTAATCTCCAATGGTTTTGCCCTCACATAGATTTCCCATGGTGGTCCTTTTGAGTTTGCAGTTGACTGTCAGAAATTTTTGTCTTGCTTGAACACGAAATCCCTGGTTATTTCTGCCTTTTCGGAGAGTTCCAAGGATGAAAACTTTTCATGAATGTTTCCCTGGTTATATTGACATGTATGAAAAAACTAAATTTCATGAATGTTGCTATCTCTTTGCCCTTTTATTTTTTCTTATTATTATTATTATTATTATTACTTTTTTTTTTAATTTTCCCTGGTGGATAGACTAAGAGATTTTTAGCCAAGTTAAAGGTTTTATGTGCAACAACATGTTACTGGGGCAAACCAAAAAGGATTTTGCTAATTCCTATTATAATGTGGTCTTGTAATATAGTAGCTTAATAGTTGGTGGCAACGACAAGCATTTTTAAGAAAATAGCTGGCTGTTTAAGAAAATAAAGAGTTGATAACAAAATTGTATTGGTTTCAAAGTACACACAATTATCATTTTTTTTTCTAGTGAATTTGTTTGCTCGTGTTTTCAATTGTGTGTAAATTTTGTTTTGGCATTTTCTCAATTTTCCTTTATAATGGCAGGGAGGGTTTTGCTTTGTTATTGTCGTCAACCTTGTGCTCTCGTATTGTGCATTTACGATGGTATATGTATGAAACTCGAGTAGGTATAATCCGTAGAATCAGCAATACAGCCGCCCAGATGAATTGTGCGGACCGTCAAATGCATTGGTTTAGGTTTAGTAGCAGATACACTTGGAAGTTTTCTTGTAGGAGGAATTGGCTCATAAATATGTCCATTTAGATTTGCCAACGTAAGCTCTGGTTTTCTGTCTTGAGATGCTTTGTAAGCTAATGGATTTGCAGAAGATGCTTTTAACACGAAGAATTTATGCATGATGGTAAGTCGCATATGTGTAGTATTAAAGATTATTCTTGATCAGGATCAGGTTGCGTGTACAGAGATTATTGTGAATTCCGGCTTCTTAAATGCTCTGCTCCTTTGTTCGTGGCTCTACAACTGAGCAAACGAGAACAGAGCTGCACGACTATTTGTTTGTACCTGTCTACTATTATTTTTGGTAACATAAGGCATCTCTCAGTCATCTGAAGCTGTCCAGATGGTGCCTTCGAATGAAAAACGTTGACTATAGGGATTTGGCCTTCTTTTCCGAGACAGTTCATTCACCGTGTAGCCAATAAATGTCTAATGGCTAGATACCATTTCCAAACACATTTTTTGTCTTGTTTGGAAAGCAATTTTTCAAAGAAAAATTACTGCATTTTTTGTTGGTGGATATGTTTATTAATCACTTTTTTTTATCTCATATATATATATTAAATCGCTATAATAATTTTTCTACAAAAAATTCAAAAAAATGAACCTTATATTCGTACTAGAGAAATGATGGAGGGTTGTCTTTCCAACGTCCTTCCGCTTCAATCATCAGATAATTGCAAAAGAAATCAAGAAACTATTTATCAACTAGAATCTAGGAGGAATTGGGTGGCTGGGATCAGCGGTATGGTGGGAGAGATATTTTGTAAGTAAAGAGTTTAAAATTTAAAATCTCTCGCTTATAAAGAAAAAAATAAAAAAATAGAATCTGTTTGTGATTTCTTATATTTTGCATATTTATTCATAATTTTTTAAATTTATTTGGACGATTTTCCTGGCAATGAAATTTGCTTTATATATATATAATCCAACTAGAATCTAGCCGAGGCACAAAATTCATAGAGAAGAAGTTGATTTCTTTATTGAATTATGATTATAATCAATTACAGAGCCTTGCAAAGATTGGGGGGAAAAAATTTTTGCCTCCTCCATGAGCAACAAGTTGTTTAATCAAAGCATTAATAATTGATTCTCGTGGGATTCATGTTTGGTTTTTGCGGACCCGCTAATTATCTTAAAGAAAACGCGTTGGGGATTAACACGAATCAATTTGCCGTCACGCTTTGTGCGCATCAATCTTAATCCTAACCAGTGGCTTTGATCGTGAGATCACAACCAATTCTTTGTTCCCTTACGTTGACTCAATCAGTTTGGTGTCCTACAAATTCATCAATCAAATCGTGCGTGCTTTTCAATGACACGAACAAGGCTCCATTTTTTTTTTTTTTTTTAAGAATCTTTAAAAGAAGAGTATTTAATCGGACGTAATCCAACTGGAAATCTAATTTGAAGACCACCCGAAAAAACAAGTGCAGGTTAATCGAGCGAAAACAAGTTTTATAATTTTTTTTCTTTTTTTTTTGAAAAGAAAGAAGAGAAGAAACCAATACAACTTCGCGTCTGGCCGCCTGTAATATATCAACACGTGGGTAGCCTAAAATTCAAAGCAAGCTCGAAAGCCACGAAAGAAAGAGCAGAGCAAAAACAACAGATTCTTGAAAATGAAAGTTATGAAATGGAGAAACATCATCCGATTCATGAGAATGAGATGCTGCGAATTTCTGGCTGTCCGGTTCCTCTCCGTCTATAGTACAGTTGTTGTTGGAAAGCAAATCACCAAAATGATTGTAGAAAGCTTCTATTCAGCGGTGGAAAATGTTGAACCGTCAACTACGCACAGTAGTATTTATATGGATGCGGATGGTGACGTTCGTAGGTTCCATGCGTTAGAATCTAATAATCTTCTTCTTCTTTGTAGTAACGTAAAATCGAGGCAACTGTTGCATGATCATAACCCACGTCTGTAGTTGATGTTAAATCGTCTTACAACTGTTGCATGATTATTGCCGCCAAGCTATCTGGTCATTCAGAATCAAAATTTATAATTACTTAAAATAATCAATTGAAAGCAAGTTTATCGAGGATTTGTAAATTCCGAGCTTTGTAAAAAAGGCGAAAAGGCCAAAAAAAAAGGTCGTAAGAGAAAGCTCGTCTTTTCATCGTGGAAAGAAGGTCTTGGCAAATCGCACGTCCAAAAATTGGTGGTATTATTGAAAAGGATGACATATGAAGAAGTCGGAGGGACGCAATTGAGCGTGGCATGAAGGAAAAGTCCGGATGCAAAAATGCTTGAGTTCTTGATACAATTACCTCACCAACAAAGAAAGAATACATACATTCTAAACTTAAATAAATAGGTATAATATAATGAGGAGGATTCCTTAAAATGAAGACAGAAGACGCACGACGGTCTGAACATTCAATTATCTCGATTGGCTGGCTCAAACTGGCGGACAAAGAGTCTCCTGGAATAGTTTTACCGAGACTTGGAATACTTTTTTTTTTTCTGTCTGTCGCCATCATCAGCGTAAGACGGAAGAATTTATTTAATGAATTCTCCCTTTCTTGCTCTGTTCCCGTCGATCCCCGCCCGTAAAAACTTTCTGGTATTCCCGGAAAACTAGAGAGATTTTATATGACCGTAAGCACCTCATCCCTGCCTTTGCCATCTTGAGATGCCAGTAAGCATGGTCAGAGTACGAGTACGGCTAACAATAGTAGTGTGTTACACTAACATGCATAGTCGTGTGTTAATTTATCTCAATTTGAATCTGAACTCTAAATTTTGCTGGTGCAAGATAACTTTAACTATTTAGATTAACGGTGTATATATTGACAATATACACATTAATACTCTTGAATGGACGTTATATGTACAAAAAAAATAATAAAGTTTAAATTCAAATTAAAATTAAATGACGTGTATCCAAAAGTTAGTGCACACACTATCACTATCAATGTATACACGATTATTCTTTAGTTATTTATTCAGAACAAGATTTCTAGATTTAAAATTTTCAAACTAAGAAAGAGAACAAATTCAAACAATTAGAAAGGAAATCACAAAAAAAAATTATGCCTTGCTTGGATTGCTTGTTTCCGTTGAAAAATATTATCGTATTCCGTGATCATATTTCTCTATCACCTTTTTCCCTCACATATATCAAATCGCTACCATAATTTTTTCATGAAAAATGACGGAAAATGCAATCCAAACACAACCTTAGTGAATCACCGCATTTGCTTACGGGCAAAAAAAAAATGATTAAAAGAATTACCGAATCTTAGAGTTGCCTTTCCTTACAACAGGGTGGGTGTCGCCTTTTTGGAAGACTTTAACGAGGACCAAAACATCACAGACTTCCAAAGTTAGCAATTTCCAAAACCAAGCACAAAGCACACGAACTCCTTTGCCTTCCCTAATCCCTATCCTACATCTGCCTATTTTAGTGGGGCACTCCAAACGAAGAACCAACAACTTCCCTAACCCAACTACACAACACTAATGCCGTACCATCCTACATATATACATATTCACAAGGAACCATGCCCGCAATTAGCTTTATTATATTTATACCACCACCATCAACCTTAACCATACCACCTCCCTGTACGACAAGACACGACGATCGAGACACCACCAAAGCCACCACTCTCTACGGATATTTTCATCCCATCATCCACCCAACACCTCAACCTTAGAATTTCTTCACTTTCCGGCGACAATAAACGTGGAACCGTATTCTTGTTTTTGGTTTAGCCATGGACTTGGGTAAGTTTGTAGTGCAAGTGCTATTCTTTTGCTTTTGCATGCTTGTGCAGTTAAATTCGTGCTATTGCTCCAAGAAGGAATCATCAATACTTTTAACTCTCAAAGCCCAGCACATATCTTCAATGTCCATCCCCAAGGCGCCCAACCGGGTCGCTTTTCACCATAATGTTTCTCTCACGGTTTCACTCACCGTTGGCTCACCCCCACAGCAAGTTACCATGGTCCTCGACACAGGCAGTGAACTCTCTTGGCTTCACTGCAACAGAACACCAAACACCCTTTCCCTTTTCAACCCACAACTCTCTACTTCTTACTCGCCCGTGCCTTGCTCCTCACCCACATGCAGGACCCGGACACGGGACTTCACTGTGCCCGTTTCTTGCGACCCGAAAAACCTCTGCCACGCTATTCTCTCCTATGCCGACGCCTCCTCCGTGGAGGGAAATCTTGCTACGGATACTTTTGCAGTTGAAAATTCGAGCATGCCCGGCTTGGTATTCGGGTGCATGGACTCCGGTTCGAGTTCTACCCCGGAAGAGGATGCCAAAACAACCGGCTTAATCGGCATGAACAGGGGGTCCTTATCTTTCGTTTCCCAAATGGGTTTCCGGCAATTCTCTTACTGCATATCGGGTCGTGACTCGTCGGGCGTGTTGCTCTTCGGGGCAGCCAATTTTCCGTGGCTTGGGCCGCTGAAGTACACGCCATTGATACAAATGTCTACCCCTTTACCGTACTTCGACCGGGTTGCCTACACGGTTCAACTCGAAGGGATTAAGGTTTCGGATACGGTGCTGCCGTTACCGAAGTCGGTATTCGTGCCCGACCACACCGGGGCGGGTCAAACAATGGTTGACTCGGGCACCCAATTTACATTCTTACTCGGCCCGGTTTACACTGCACTGAAGAACGAGTTCGTGAAGCAAACCAGGGGCGTCCTGAGGTTATTGAACGAGCCAAATTTTGTGTTTCAAGGGGCCATGGATTTATGTTATCTAGTAGAGTTGAGTCGTGCAACTTTGCCGCCATTGCCTGCTGTAGCGCTGATGTTTCAAGGGGCGGAGATGAGTGTTGCAGGGGAGAAATTACTGTACAAAGTTCCAGGTGCAACGAGGGGAACTGATGGAATCTACTGTTTCACGTTTGGGAATTCCGATTTGCTGGGGATAGAGGCGTATGTGATTGGGCACCATCACCAGCAAAACATATGGGTGGAGTTTGACCTTGCACAGTCCAGACTTGGCTGGGCAGAGGTTAGGTGTGATTTGGCAAGTCAAAGGCTAGGCCTGGGTCATTAGTTTTGACTTTTTATGTCTTGGTTGTACTTTTAGTTATTGCTAATATATGATAGAGTAGCTATCCCATTGGGCATATGGGAATGGCTGTAGTAGGTCTAGTTTGATATATTTATTTAGATAGATATCTTTTACTAGTTTTTTTTCATTTGTTTTTTTGTGGTTGTGTAATCCAACATAGGCCAATCCCTAGGTTACATCCTCCTTGGCATGTAATTATGGGAGTACAATTGTAATGTGGAGAGGTGACCGATTGATAGGACTGTGATGTGAAGGAGTTTTCATTTTGACAAACGGAATCTGCAATTGTGTGAAAAATATATGGACGCAATTTCTCGAGCATTATTAATTGCAAACTAAGTTGAAACCAGTTCAATCATCAATGTCAATTTTCGTTTAGTTTGGATTTTGACAAAAAAGGAACTCGCAGTTTCGTGAAAATTGATGCAACTTCTTGTGCATTAATTGCAAATTTATTTGTCAAAATATATTTGCTTACATCATAATTACAATTTCCAACGCACCTTTTTATTTTTTTAATTATCTTTTTATCTCACATACATCACATCACAAAAAGTGCTATAGTAAAAATATCTCTAATAATTTACAATCCAAACAAACCCAGTTCAATGGCAATTTGATATAGGCTCATTTTAGTTTTGATTGAGAAAATTGGAGAGAAGAAGAAAGAAGATGAATTGGAGGAATTTGGTGCTTGTTGTTTGGATTGATTTTTGAGGGCTAGAGGAAATAGATAAAAGAGTGACAAGGTTTAATGTTTGCTGCGTTATGGTTCGAAAGTGGGCCAAAACTAAGGCAAGCGAAACTAAATTCATTAAAATAATTTAATTTTTTAAAGATCATTTTTTTTCTCTTTCTTTTCCAGTAAATTAACACTTGATCTTTTTCTTCTCAATTCAAACAAAAATTCAATATTTTCTTTTTTTCTTTCCATACTTAAGTAAAACAAAATTTATGGAAATCATTTTTCTCTACTCTCCTTTCCTTTCTTTTCCATTAATATCCCTTCCCTTTCTTTCATTCAATCCAAACGGATCCTAGTTTGGATTTTTGACAAATGGGAATTTACGATGGTGTGAAAGGTGGTTCAATTTCTTGTGCATTAATTACAAATTAAGTTGGAGCCAGTTCAACAACAATTTAATTTAGTTTGAATTTTGATAGAAGAAATCTGCAATTGTGTGACAATTGCTGTTGTTTGTTGTGCATTAATTTACGAGTTAAGTTGAAACCAGTTCATTGGCAATTTGATTTATTAAAAAAGTTTTATACTGAGGGACATACAACTGCTTTTGTTGTGCATTAATTTACAAGTTAAGTTGAAACCGGTTAATTGGCAATTTGATTCCTTAAAAAATTTTCTACTAAGGGACATACAACTTGTGTGATAGACATGAACTAAATAATGCAGTTTGGTTTTTAGATATTTGTTACAATTTTGTCGCCGTACACGTTACATTTTTTTACTAGGAATTTAAAAAATTTGTGTACCAGATGTGCTTAAATATTATAATACTGGGTTTTAAATTTATTTTTGTCCAAAGTTTGAGTACCAAAATAACGGCTGAAGTTTAGATATCAAAACTGCAATCTAGTTTTCTGATGTTTAGGAATTCTCAATTTCCCATATTTGTATCGATTGTTTAGACATATACTACCTTGTTTTTAATCGTTTTTCTAGGTGGACTCTTGACGTACGTTATATTTGTTGCATCTTTCTCAGTTCTTCATCAATCATCCGACAATAACATTAACGTTTGAAGCTCATTGTACATGTGTTCTTTAATTCCTAACTGTAAGTCTTGTGTCTGTAACATTAACGTTTCCCCAACTCTAGAAGTTCATTGTATACGTGCTCTTTTGCGGTAATACCAATTCGTGCTTGGGTTAATGACTTTCGGGAATGGCGTTTAGCAATTGTTTTGCTCATTGACATAAAATTTTGCACCCATAATTGGCTCGTTAATGCCTCTAGTTTCAAGTTATTCCTACTTCCAATCCCGTACACTGCCTTGGGTCGAGGTTGGTAGATTTGGGTAATTATTACATCGTCTATCATGTCATTCGTCTAACGTACTACTACTTCCTAGTTTGTTGTGCCACTCTTATTTTGATGTTAACTGGCGAGTCCACGTTTGTTGTTAGTAGTTCTTAATGCTGGTTTTTGACTTTGAAAATCCCAGTTGGCTAACATGTAGACTCAGTCGGCGGTTCAGTCTCCACCGATTCCTCTAGACCCCATTGAACCTCCTTCTTAAATTAGAATGGTACTCCCTCCATTCCACTTTGATAATCCTGTATTCTTTTTTTATCTGTCTCAAATTGTAGTCCACTTTCCAATTGAAGAATGTAGTTGTATTTTAATTTTTTTAAAACATCCTTATTCAATGTAAGTAGTTGTTACTATAAATCTACCCCATTTAATGAGAGTTGATTCTTTTATTACCATCAATTCAAGTTCTCATAAAGTTGTACCATATTTAATGTGAGGGTATTTTAGAAAAATAGTAATCTAAATTTACTTTTTCAATAAAATTAATTATTTTTTCTTAAACTGTGTGGAAAAAGAAACAAGGCTATCAAAGTGAGACGGAGAGAGTATAAGATTGACGATTGATTAAAAAAGAAGAATTTTGGCTAACATCTAGACGCGGTGACACCCCAAGAATGATTTGCTTATTCCTCGGTCACCTTCACCAATCTCGTGCCGGGAAACTTCTGAACATTAGCTGTCTGCCACCGTACTATTTCCCAGTAGTGGTTCCAAAGATTATCAAACATTCAATTTTGTTTTTTTTGCCAATAACGCTTAGTGCTATCGCTGTATACACTTTTATGATTAAATGCATATATATAAAATTTAAAATTAAAATTAATTATTATATATTTAACGATAGTAGTATATAAATTGTTAGTATATAAAAGATTATATTTTTAATTTGTCTCCCTCCTCCTCCTTCACCCCTAGCCTGACCCAAAACAAAAAAAAAAAAGAAAAAAAGATAACTGGTGGCCTTAACCCAAGCGGAAAGGCATGGCAAGGGAAATTGGGATTTGGGTTTTCTATCGTCCTTTGATTATTCGGTGAAAACAGGCCTGAGGCCTTTGTCCAAACAGACGAAACCATCGTTTTCCGTCCCAGATTGTTGGTGCCAGGATAGGAAGGGGCCGGGGGTATTAAATTAACAGTAGACAATGGATAATCAAAGGGTGGGCCTCGTGGTCACACAATTGATTACCAAACTAAATTGGAGACCCCCTTGAAAAAGACCCTGTGCAGTTAATGCAAATTGACTACCTTTACCCTTTAGCTCTGTGGTCTGTAGATAGATGGCTGATTCCTCAATCAGACAGCTGTTGTTTGACAAAACAGTGGAAATCGTAACTTGCATGATCTGCTCCGTTGCAACGACGTTCTTTTCTGTTTCTTTTTCGGCTAAAATAATTGCTCCTTTTGTATTAGCTATTTTTGGGAATATTTTAAAAAATTTTACCACAGCAGAGTTTCTAGAATATATATTGAGATATTTTTAAAAAATATTTTAAAATATTTAAGAGTAGTAGAGTTTTTAAAATATATTTTGGGATATTTATGAAATATTAAAAAAACGTAGACTATTTTTTAGAGTATTTTTTTATAATTTTTTATAATATTTAAAAAACTAAAGGATCCAAACAAATTCAACAAGTTTTCATTCATTGAACAGTTATTAATACTAGTGCCTGAAACACACGCTAATGTTTGTGCAGTTAAAATATATATTTATATATATTTTTTAAAACAATTATTTCTTTATAATATGTTTTACTGGTCAAATTGTTTTAGATAATTGTACATAAATATGATGAAAGTTGGCAATTAGTGTGAAAAAATGGATAAATTCAGCAATTAACCACTGCTGATTCAAATAGCTCATTGCTAATTGTGGAGAAGTTTCTTTTTCATAAATTGGGACAAATTTACCCTTGTTATTAAGGGAATGTTAGAAATTTTAAAAAATGACATTATGTATTTATTCTGTGATGCTCTCGTTATATATATATATATAGAGAGAGAGAGAGAGAGATATATATATATATATATATATATATATATATATATAGATATTAAAATTACATTCAACCCGTCGTTTTATCGTAATCGAGGGACCTACCCAACCGAAGGCCGCAATGATGTGCTCTGATAAAACTGGCGTGCAACGCGGTGAATGCATGGTGGTCTGTGGCAAGTGGACGACTACCACCTACAGCTTGCTGTTTGGACCCATGCATTGGACCCTTTGATTGTGAGGTCATCAGACCCCGAATTCTCCCCAAAAAAAGACCAATAAAAATCTTGGTCACCAGACCCCCAAATAATCCGTATCAAAACTGTCGGTAATATTAACGATCGACTCGAGGACCCTCTTAAGCCCGTTTCGATTGATTACGGATTTTTAAGATAGGTTCATCCTTTCAAGGAGTCATAGGGTGGGTCGTCACCCATGAGCCCACCATTTAGTTTACAGAAGTTGCGTCCATGTTTGGGCCGAAAACGTCACTAATGCAGTTTCACTCTTAAAATGTTTTGGGTAGATTAAAACTTTCTGCGTTATCTTGCAGGCCGTTTGGAAAAGAAGTTTTTTTGTCGAATTTGTCTCTTTTCAGTTTTTCAATAACATTACTTACAGTAATTTAAAAAATTTTATCAAAATTTTAAACTACGTCCCAAAAAGAAACAGAAGAGCAAGAAAAGTTTTCCATCTTAAAACAGAAGAAAAACTTCTCAAAGTTTTTTTTTAAAAAAAAAGAAAGAAAGAAAAAAAAAATTTTCATCTTAAAATTTTTTCCTATTGGGCTTTTTTAACCTACACATTTAAAATATCCACAAAAAAAAAAAAAACTTCCTTTCCTTTTTCTTCTTCTTCCTCCCCCACCACTACCTCTGTCAACTGCTCTGTTACCGGCCACCACCTCCACCGCCAGTTCCGGCGCCGATCACCTTTTCCGGTGCCGATTTTTTTTTTCCCTTTTTCCCTCTTCCCCTGCAAGTTTTTTTTTCTCTCTGCGTCTCCCCCCCTCCTCCCCCACCACCCTTCCCCTTCCTCTCTGGCCGATCTGGTCGCGAGACCAGATCGCACCGAGGGAGGGTGGCAGGGAAAGGGGGGATTTGCCCAAAAAAAAAAAAAATTTGACGGGGGGCGGGATTCGGGGTGATAAACGGGAAGGGGAATAGGGGAGGGGGAAGGGCCAAGGGGGTGACGGGGGAGGGGGAAGGTGGCGAGGGGGTGGCGGGGTAAAGGGGAAAGATGGGCTTG